GGGGAAATAAGGGTTTTTATTTTTAACGTCTTATTGTTATTTGCGACGTAAATGAAAAAAAAAAGTTATTTTGCTTGTGGTTCTCGTTGGCTTGATTGGAGAGCCGGAGGTGATCGCTTCGAGGGTGTTTCAGGGCTGTTTTGGTTTGATTTTTACAGTTTTGCATTGGAGAGTGCTGTGCAGCTCGTAGAAGTGGCTCTTCCTACTTTTCAGGAAGGAAGTTTTAATGTTAGTTCAGCTTTAAAAGGCATAGTGAATGTAAAGACCATTTTTTTTGTTCTTTATTTGGTGCTCGAAGACTGATGGAGATAGTGCTTCCTCGGTAGTAAGGCTGGGAGTTCGTGGTGGTGCCACTGAGCCGTTTTGCTAGCCGTGGAAACGGTTTCAAATAACTGCTCACTTATTTGTGACGGAGGTTGCATCTGGCTGCTGCTAGTGTCTCACTGGAGGAATCTCCCATGCTAAAGAATGTGGAGCAGAGGCCATTTCCCTTGTTGTGAAAAAGAGAAACTTTGTGAAGTTAGAAACAGGGATTTCTTGTAGGCATTAGGTATTCTGAATGTTTATGTAGATTCTCTCTTGCTTTCAAGCAGAAAACATCTGGAAAATTAAGCTTAGCCTAATTTTAGCAGTTTTACAAGTGGGTGTTTCTCTGGCTGTTATGCTTGGAGCAATAAATTATATCATATACTAATTACCATTTACTGCAGGAACCTTCGCGGATGACTACAATAGTGCACACTGTGTGTAGTTTATTGAATTGCAGCAAAATAGTCTTATCCCTATTTTTTAGCCTGAAAGGAGTAAAGATGCTAAGCCAGTCTTCATTCTCACTTTAAAGTGAGACAGGGATGAGCATCAGTTATCCCTCAAACACTAAAAATTTGTGGAACTGCTAACTGTCAGTGTAGATTTGTGCAGTATAAGGCAACGTAGGAAAATACATATTAATAGAGTGAGTGCAATCAGGCTTGTTTTGGGAATGGTTTTAGATGGCACAGTAGGTTCCAGACTCATGTAGTATATTGTAGTCTTAGTGGCTGTTTTCTTTTTTATACTAAAAAAAAAAAGTTCCTATCCTGATATTTTCAAATATGTGTGTTTTCCTTTTATCTTTAAAGGTTCTAAAGTTACTACTACCTGAAGACTTCCTTTTGAAAACGTATCAGGCAAGAACAGTCCTATTTTAATAAATGAAGGAGAACAAAGAAAATTCCAGTCCTTCTGTAAACTTGGCAAACCTGGACCATACAAAGCCATGCTGGTACTGGGATAAGAAGGATTTGGCACATACCCCTTCACAACTAGAAGGGCTTGATCCAGCTACGGAGGCAAGATACCGCAGAGAGGGGGCCAGATTCATATTTGATGTAGGGACACGTTTAGGCCTGTATCCTTCAATTACATAAATGTTTCTGTGAATTGGGGTTTTGAAAGTAAAGCATATTAGAAATGCCTGATTCGTTGTTCAGATGCTACTTTGTCAGGAATCAAAGATTCCCTCCATTTAGCTGCCTTTTGGTGTAACAAGTTTCATAATGTAAAAAGTACGTAATTTTAACAAGTAATGTAATTTTTATCCATTTATTGAATAAGCAAGGTTTGAGCATAACTCCGGTGGCAACAGAAGGGGAATATGATACAGACTCACCATTTGTGCATGGCTTGGTCTCTTACTGCATGAACAGAGAATGAGATCAATGAGAAATTCCTTAAATTTTGGATTTTGGACTTTTTCTGTGTATTTTACTTACAAGGCTTCTAACTTTTGTCCCCCTACCCGTTTTTGTTGAAGGTGGGGTTGGTTGCATTTTTTTCTATGTGCTAGTGATTTCTCTCAACTGTGTTATAGATGGCCACTAGAATTTCTTGGTTCCTACGTTTGTGGTACTTTTTTTTTTTCCCACTTCTTTGTTTAATAGAAACTGACGACAATTAAATTTCATTTTTTTCCTTGAAGGAAAGACTAGGGAGCATATTTAGCTTTTATTTGCGTTTATAGACTCTCCATACAGACTTAGATGTGAAGTGATAATTCTTCTGTTCCATCAGGTACCTTCCACAACTTGGGGCCTTTTCTGGGGCAGCTTTGGAATTTGTTATGTGGATGGCCACACGTAGAACCTCTCTATGAGAAATGCATGGTCATAGCATGCCACCAAAAGGAGAGAGAGAGGAAGGAAAATAAAAGGCTCTGAAACATATGGCTACATAAATACTGTGGTTCAGCCCAGATGCAGTTGATATCCAAAGCGCTTCTAAATCCTCTAGTTAACTTGCTTTTTGGCTGTTCACTGAACAGACAGTTAATTGATAGAGCAGAATGCATCGTTTTGCTTGTGTGTGTTTGGTTTTGAATTTGTTTTGTGCTGTTTATATGTTTGAAAAATCCTTAACCTGCGACACAGACACTATGATACATTAGCAACCGGAATAATTTATTTCCATCGATTTTATATGTTTCATTCCTTCAAACAGTTCCCCAGATATGTAAGTATATACAATATTGTTTGCTTAATAATGCAGTTGTGTTAAGCACAGACTGTTTAAATTGGTAACAGATTATTTGGGCACTGGAGCTAGGCACAACTCTTATTCATAGCATCACTGATATAAACCAAGCAATGTCTACTTTCCTTTTTTTAGTATTACAGTATCAGGAGTCACAAAGCAATGATAAAAAGAACTGTGACCTGGAGAACATTTAACTTTTGTGTTTGAGTTATTGTTTTAAAAATAAATATCCTTTAAATACAGGATTATACGATTCCAGTAAGTATAATATTTTCCATAAAATGAAAACCAAACATGTTTATATAAACAATCATTGCTTAAAACATGCTGTGCTGTTTGTTTCCCTTTTCACTTGTGCTTAGAAACATACTTGTATGGAAATTTTAGTTATCATGATGATGATATCCTTTAGAAAGGGTAATGGCTATAGCTGTGTGTGGTGGTGTTTTTTTTTTTTGTTTTTTTTTTATCTTAAAACTGCTTGACAGGCAGTATCCTATCAAGACAAATTCTGGTTTGGATGTTTAACCATGAAATAAAACTGTATATGCTTGACTGTTGTCCAAGTTCTGTATTTACTTTAAAGCAGTAAAAGCTTCAATTATCACTATAATTAAGGTAGAAGTAGTAAGCTTATTAAGTCTTCTTTGGGAAACTGCTGAGGATCTGTTAATGAAAGCTGACAGTGCTTTTAGATGTGCAATAAAGTGTTGCCAATGCAGACAACTTCCTGAAACCACTTTCTTTTGTAGGTAACAGGAGCCTGCTGTCTTTTCCTGGCAGGAAAAGTTGAAGAAACACCTAAAAAATGTAAAGATATAATCAAAACAGCCCGTAGCTTATTAAATGATGTACAGTTTGGACAGTTCGGAGATGATCCCAAGGTAAAGATGCCGAATTTCAGTTGTTACAATTACATGCTGAACATGTAACTGTGATAAACTACTTGTATTAGCAAAAAGGTTTTTGAAGCCTACTGTAGCAAATGCTAATATACAAAGTTTACATTTAATTTTAATTTAATTATGCAAATTCTGATGAGGGTGGGATGGGGCACAGGAGGACAGTAAATCAGTCCATTTAGTCAGGGGGTACAAACATCATCAAGATATAAAATGTATTTAACAGAGCATAATGTGGTATTGGGAAATAATTAGTAGAAAATCTTAAATTAAGTATGAGAACTACATATCATCTTCAGAACTATATCTCAATGTTAGGAGGTTTCCTGTTTAGAATACTTGGCTTAACAAAGTTATGCTTCTCTCAAATAGAGGAAAAAAAGGGAGGCAAAAAAAAAAAGAAAAAGAAATAATACCTGTAATAAACTTTTCCAGATTTAATATTTCAATCTTCTCTTCGGAGACATACCTTAATGAAGTGAAAGCAGGCACATGTTTCTCTGGAGATGCTCTGTAGTCAGACCTTATACCAACATAAAATATTTATGAGTAAAAGAAGGAGTAATATTGTGTTACCTTGTTACATTCTCTAGGAAGAAGTGATGGTCCTTGAAAGAATATTACTACAAACAATAAAATTTGATTTGCAAGTGGAACATCCGTACCAGTTCCTGCTCAAGTATGCCAAACAGCTCAAAGGTAAAATAGTACAGGGTGAGCAAGAGATGCCTGTTCTTAATCTTGGAAAGTTAGTTAACATTAACAGTGAGGAGCTATTATCTTTCAAACTATTTCACCTTTTTAATAACTTACCATAACTTTACTGATTATTTTTCAGGAGACAAAAATAAAATTCAGAAACTGGTTCAAATGGCATGGACGTTTGTGAATGACAGGTAAGGCACTTATGGCAACAGCCTCTGACAGTGAAATTGTTACTGTTCAGTTCATTTGGGACTCAGGTATTTCTTTGAGAAATGCTGGTTATCTTTTTGCAAATAGTGAAAGCAACTGACCTCTCTGATACAGATGTTTTCCAGTTTTCACCATGGTGTTGGGCAGGATGACTACAGAAGGACTAGGCTTCTAAGACCTATGACATTTTGTGGGAAGGGTTTAATGCTTACATTCAAAAAATTGAAAATTATTTGAAAAGTTGAAACTATGTTAGATCTCCAGGACAGAAGCTGGCTGCTTGCCCAGCCCAGGACATGAGCCCATGGCTCATTCTGAGCCAATCAATTACTGCAAGATACCATTCCATTTCTGTAGTTCGTTGTTTGTTATAGATTCTAGGTTTTAAACATTTAAACATGACAAAATTCTGTCATGTTGGTCAACTATGGAAAAAAAAAAGATATATTTTAATAGTCAGCCATTAAATCTAGTGCAAATAATGTTTTAGAGGTAACTAACAGTTTCTTGAATCATTTTTTATGTGTAGTGGCATTTCAAAACAGAACTTTATACACTTTAGTTCTGCTAAGTTGAATTCCACAGAGCTAGGGAAGTTAATTTACAAATGGCAGTTAAAGTGTAATTGTGATATATTTAATAACAAGTTCTTAAGACATTATTGAAGTCTGGACTCTTCAGAAACGCAAAGCTTTCCACCGTTAAAGAAAGAGGTGCATTCTTACTCATATGTCTAATTTTAAGTATCCCATTATGGGTCCAAGTTCTCAGTCTGTAAAAGTAACCTAAAGAGGTTATGGAATCGCATAATAGGTGATAGCATGTAACCCACCCTCATTAGTTTGAGCAAAAGGCTATTTAACATGTTTGCATGACACTAGATGTATACTTCATCTTTTGTCTCTCTTGATGATGTTAAGGAGAAATAATGTATGGATTGACTCTTGTAAAATGCCTTAGGAAAAATCTTTCTGTATCCTTCATACTTCGATACTATTCTACTTGGAATTATGTGGGATTTAATAATTAACCCAGGAAAATGCGTTTCAGGAAAATGCTGAAGTAAGGCTAGAGTAATTGTTTCAAATAAGATTTCTCTGTCCTCAAGAGGCTGTTTTGTGCTTGCTTAATAGGCACCATGTTAGAAGTATATTCGATTTCTAGGATCCTGGAATAATAATCCTATACTTTGCACTATGGGCCTTTAGACCAGCTGTTGTGTGAGGTTTTTTGTTTGTTTTTCTCCTGCAACTACAGTACATACCTGAGTAAATATCCAAAAGATAATAATAGTGAATCAGTGTTTTGAGAGCTATTTGTTGTGTGGCAACCAGTGATCGCTGGCTTCATTGCTCCAATATTGAACTACCTCATTTGCTTTGAGTCATCTGTAGTCCACCAAGAGAAACTAATCCAGATGACTGCATAGGCTACTATTTTGGTGCATTTAAAGAGGTAGCAATGAAATCATCAGTGAATTGGCACAAACTGAACTGGCTGGGTGGGTGTGAAATTGTTTCAATAGGAGGATAGTTTAGCAGATCTCATGTTACAGAAGCTACAGAAGAGCTAACTTGCCACAAAAAGAAAAATTTTTGTAATTTAAATTATGAGATTATTACATAAATATATTTAATACCAAGAACATCAGCTACTTTGTGACATTAATTTTACCAAAAGCTACTGAAGGAGAACCTTTACAGCTTGATCCAAAACTTAATGCCACAGAGAAGACCATAGTGGAGTGTAGATACCCATACTTGGAATTTCGTATTGTCTTTCTTATCTTTGTTCCCTACTTGTGTTAAGGTTTCATATTTTAAAGCTCCCAATATGCGGTGTGTTCTGCTGCAGGCAAGTGCTCCCTGTGTCATGCATTTAAAATTATATTGTTTAATAGCAGAAATTCAAAACAATTTAGTTTTGTAAACTGTTTTATTTAACAAGGCTTCTACACATAGTTTTTACTAAGTTATACCTATTAGACTTTTTTTTTTTTTTTTTACTTTGACAATCAGAATTATCTTAGGTTTATTTTTGTTTATTTTTTTAATGTCTTGTAGCCTCTGCACTACGCTGTCACTACAGTGGGAGCCAGAAATCATAGCTGTTGCAGTTATGTACTTAGCAGGTCGTTTGTGTAAGTTTGAAATACAAGAATGGACCTCAAAACCAATGTACAGACGGTGGTGGGAACAGTTTGTCCAAGATGTCCCTGTTGATGTTCTGGAAGGTATGGGGAACACTTGCTACAGACAAATCATTTTTTTCCTGTGACTGTGATGCAGATAGTAGGTACATTCCAACTGCCTTTTTTCTGCATCTGACTCAAAAATAATTCCGTGTAATGTATGCACCTTAGGACATATATGCTATGCCCTATCCAGATTCATGATTAAACTTTTAGACTGGCTTAGTGTGGAATGTTCATTGTTACAATTAGTCTTTTGTCAATATTTGTTTTACTGATAATTTAGTTCATGGCCCAGCTGTTAAGCACTGGTACTAATGAAGACAAGTTTGCAGTGGTTTGCTCATGATGATCAACCTCTTTAACAGTTATACGAGAACTACAAGTAGCAGTTCTTGTCTTATGCTGTCCTAGGACTGAGAACTAGATTCTGTAGTTTCTAGTTGCTTATTCTGGATTGTTTTATCCTTACAGAATCTTAATAGTGTTCCTTTGTGTTTTCTCAAAGCATAAATTCATCCATCAGATTTTCTTTTAGAGTAGTTAGTGGGATCTTTTTGGTACAGACTATTACTTCTCTGAATGGAGGAGCACGTTGCTTTAGACTTTATCCTTCTCTCAGAATTAACTAAAACAAAAGGATAATCTTTTTAACACGACCGTTATGAATTTCATACCCTGTAAGATTCTTCATAGGAACACTTTTTTTTTGTACCATGTCTTCAAGGTCTCTTGTCCTTGTCTTTGTCTTTTGGCAGCCCTAGTTGCTCACGGTCATAGGATTGGTTGTATTGATTGAGACCAACAGTCTTATGATCAGTTCCCTTCCAGCGCTGGCTAAAGTAGAATCCTTAAGGTTGGACGGGACCTCCAGAGATCATCTAGTCCAACCCCTGCACACGCAGGGTCACCCAGAGCACGTGGCACAGGACTGCGTCCAGGCGGCCCTTGGAGATCTCCAGAGACGGAGACTCCACGGCCTCTCCGGGCAGCCTGTTCCCGTGCTCCGTCACCCTCACTGCTAATATGTTTTTCCTTAAGTTCCTGCGGAACTTTCGCTGTTTCAGTTTGCGGCCGTTTCCTCTCGCTCTGTCGGTGCCACCGCTGGGCGAAGAGCATTTATGATATTTCCCTGATGCAATTTCAATATCTGGTCTGAATGGTTTTGTGAGCCTAGTTCTGATGCAACTATCAACTAATTAATGACCTTCAATAGATCTCTCTTCAAGTACTTCTCCTGCAACCTCTTGAACGACAGTAAGCTGTTTGCTCACATAACATCATCTTTGTCAGGGAATTCTGCAAGTCTGTTACCTACTTCTTTGAGGATCATCACCTTCTCTGTTTGAAACCTGACTCTTCATAGCTTTGTTTCATGGCCCTTCTTATCCTGAGGTGTTCTCTCCCTGTCAGCCTTCCCTAGGTGTTCATGATTTTGCATGCAGCTATCATATCTTCCAAGTAGTTTCCAGTCTGAAGAACTCCAGCTTCTTCGAGTGCTATTTGCATGGAAATCCTTCCTCACCTTTGGATATTTGAGTTGTCCATGTGAAGTTTTCCAGTTCTATTTCTCTTCCTTTTGAGATGAGGGCTAGCGTATGTATGTGATTTTGGTCACCAAGTACAGTACGGTGGTAGAATATTTCCAACTTGTTCTATTTTTTTTTGACATTGTGGGTCTCTGAGCCAATGTTTTCACTCAGATGTCTGTTTTATCTATAAACTCTTTTGAACATAGTGATTAGCTCAAAGTCTGTTATTTTTATATATAAAGGTAGGAGCATTTTTCCCATGTGCCTACTTTGCATGTTTCTGCACTGAATTTCATCCTCAACTATATTGCTTGATCACAGCAGAAGAATTTGGACCTAGGTCTTCACTGCCTGCTGTCATCCTACTCCTTGAAATAACCTTGCATCACTGGCAAATTGACCACCTCCTTGGTCACCCATAGACAGCAGAGATCCTAACACAGACTGCTACAGAGCTTGAGTTCTTCTCTGTTGCAAGACTTGATCCCTTATTGAAAACATATGCCTTTCTTTAAATAAGTTTATTAACTAAGCCCTTTACTCCTATCCTGGTGCTGTTTAGGGTCCTTGAAAGTATTTGAAGAATTCTGTCAGTTGCTTTCAAAGTCTAGTACTCTCGCAGCTGGATTACTTATTTGTGAAGTGCTTGTTGTCCTTTCCAGAGAACTCCAGGAAGTTCATAAAGCAGGATCTCTCCTGACTCTCATTAAGTAAGCTATGCTTAGGTAGCCACTAATTTGTTTTCATTACCTGATACAGATGTCATCTATAATTCTGTAAATTGCTTTGTAAGTCTGTTTAAAAATCAGTGTCATGCTTGTCACTTATCTAGTCTTGGTGTTTTAACTGAAAAGGTTATGTGCTAATGTTCATTATTCAGATAATTTATCCTTTGGTTTCTTTTAGAACTCTTAGATGAATACCATCCAGTTCTGGTAATTTTATTTTTTTTTAATACATGGTTACGTGCTGTATTTGTATTGCAGCTGAGTTTCTTAAATTTAAGACAAATCTTCTGCTGAATCTCTGCCAGAGAAAGTTGTAGAATGAGTGTCCCCGTTTCCTGCTGCTGCCTCAGTGAATGCAGATGCAAAGGACTCATTTAGCTGTACTGTAAGAGCTTTGTTGGCCTCGAGTGCTGCTCCTGCACCCCCTTATCAGTTGGTCTTGCTTGATCTCTGGCAGAATTCTTGTTCCCTATGTGCTGAAATAAGGTTTTGGAACTAGTTCTGATGATTTGCTCCTTACACTTTATTGACCAATCCAGTTAGACATACATTTTCAACAGTTACTCCATCTTGTTTACTTGCTGTGTTGCTCTCCAAGCACACTGTAATGATAGGCAATATATTAATACCAAGACATTTTATTCGTATTCCTCTGGAGGGTTGCATATGTGCCTCTGTATTCACCATAGGCAGAAGGAACTCAAAAATGCAGAAGTAAATTGAAAACTATTCTTAAAAAATGTATAGTAAATTCTTACTTTTTTAAGAAAAAAGCTTGACCATTTTGTTGAATATGCCCTTGTATGTTGCAAATACTTAATCTTGGCACTTTATGTTTTAGATATCTGCCACCAGATTCTGGATCTGTACTCACAAGGGAAGCAGCAGATGCCTCATCACACTCCTCATCAGCTGCAGCAGCCGCCATCTCTCCAGTCTGCACCCCAGGCACCTCCTGTGCAGCAGTCACAGCAGCCCCAGGGTTCGGAGCAGTCCCAGGCTCAGCAGCAGAAGGAGTCGCAGCAGTCAGCGCAGCAGCAGCAGCAGCAAACACAAGCACAGCAATCAAAAAAGCCTTCTCCCCAGTCAAGCCCTCCCAGACAGATCAAAAGACCAGCAGTAAGTTTAGTGAACTTACATTTTATTTTTATGCTCATCTGTTGCCTCTCTAGTTTAGAGACTGCACTGTGCAGCAAACTTGAGGTTTGCTTTTAAAATGAGGGCAGTAAATAATTTTTCTATGGCAGACTTTTATTGGTTGTATGACAAGTACTTAAGCGTGGAACCGTTTTGAAGTCTGGGCATCCTGCATACTCAGTGCACTCAAGGCACATCCCGTGGGCAGACCCCTTAGTGAACCTGAGCCTCTGTTCGTGGTTCTGTGCTACCAGATCTTTTTTCACTCTTCAGCATGCTTGATTTAGGCTATGACTCTTGTGCCTTGTCAGATTTCTGTACGATATTTGCTTTTAACTGCCATGTGTGTACTGTGCTGATGCAAGCACTGTTTGTCTTTTTGGCCTTTAACAACATATGAGAAAGGTGACTTTTTAGAAGTGTATCAAAATTCCGGTGCTGGTGGTTAGGAAGTGTCTTCCAAAATAATCTAATAACAGTAGAAGCTTACAAATGCAAAATACATTCAGCTCTCATTTTATGGTCTGCATTATCACCTAATCATTGAAAATAAGAAAGTGTGTTGGCAGTTGCATAGTATCTCTGTGCTTATCTGCAGTCATCAAGTCCAAATGAAGCTTTTGAACCTTTTTCTATGTATTGTGTTTCACATCTGAGTTACTAAAAAGAAAAAGTGTAAAAGTGTGAAGATTTGGGTAACATATCTACTTAGGAGGAGGAATGTTTTCAAAAGTAACGTCTCCAAAATACACCCATTTCAGGAATAAATTTTGTACAACTGATGTTCTGTCTTGTTGTAGCCCAAACTGGAGAACAGGTGTCAAGAAACAGGAAGAAGTAAAAAATGATGAAATGAAAGAAGAAAAAGTTCATTTCTCTGTCTGCTTCCTTATAGCAGCCTCCCAAAAAAAGAGGAAAATTAAAATCTCTAAAACTTTAGTCTTTTAATACAAGATACAACCTACTAATAGAGAATAAAATGCACCAAATGTGCAATTCCTACACTGAAGAATTTTAGAGTTGATCAGGATAGAGAGATGATAAAATTTATTAACTAGCTTGGCAATTGAGAGAATTCTTTATAGGTAGTATGTCTTTCTTTTTAAACTTCCCCTTTGGCACAAATTCTGTTTGGGCCATCTAATCTGTGGTTCAGGGAACTCTTTTGTCTGGAACAAATATACCTAGGGCAGTTTGGTACATCAGAAACTATAAATAATTCGGACTTTTTGTTTGTGTCCATCCATTTGTAATGAGAGAAATTTTTAAGGCTTGTAGAAACAGCACTAAGGGAACAGTTATTTTAGGGTGTGGATTGACCTTATGAAAGTCTCAAATAATAACTAGTATTCTATTAAATCATTACTGAGATGTCATTCAGTATAAAAATATATAGATGTATACACACTAAAAAGCAAAGACCTGGCTGAAATGGCTGTGTCAAACTGACTGGAGGAAAAATGCATAATTACTGCCATTTTTAGGAAAGTATCTTATATTTTGATAAGCTTTGTTTATACTGAAACAAACAACCAAAACAAACAAAAAAAAAAAACACGCCTATGGCATAATCTGATTTTTGTTCTTCTGTTACATAAACCGTCTCATGTTTGGCTTGAGTTGCTTGTTCTGTACTAATAGATACCTGTTGATTTTGCTTTCTGAACACTGCTGCCTGTACACAAATACACTATAGCTGCGTTGCCTGCAACTTGAACTAAAGCTTGGCCGCAAAGAATAAGTGATTTTTATTTATTTATATATCTTTCTGAACACTGCTGCCTGTACACAACTACACTGTGGCTGCGTTGCCTGCAACTTGAACTAAACGCTTGGCCGCACAGAATAAGTGATTTTTATTTATTTATTTATATATTTTTTGGAAGTTCTGGAACTTAATAGTGGAGACATTTATCTTTGAAAGTGCAGGATAAATTGAATATTTGCTTGGACTTGCAAACAGGGAAATTTAGTTTTGGAAAGTCAGGGCAAGAAAGCCTGAGTAAAATGAGGGTGGCGTTTGAATCCGCATGGTCAGCGGGAAGTGTGTGTGTGTTGGGATGCAAAGATTAAGGCTGCCCGTAAGTGGGGAGGGAAAAGTGATGGGAGATGAATTGGAAGGACTCTGTAAGGAACACAAAAAGCAGGTCTTGAGGAGCTTGGCACTGGACAGCCAACATGGGAATCCTCAATAGAACAGAGGAAAATTCACTCTTCAAGTGAAATATCCGTCAGTTCCTGAACTAGCCAACTCACTCGGAGTGGACAAGCTAGGAAAGACTTCTCAGGCTCCCTTGTCTGTGACTCTTAAAGCAAAACAAAACCAAAAAATGTGTGGCCAGAAGGGTGATGTGAGGTTCTGAGAGTCTTGCTCAGTGTTCAGTAATACACTTTTGCATAATATTTGGCTTTTGTACAGTGCTTGCTATTTTGAAGGCTTCTGAAATGTTTTATGCTGAGCAAAACTTCAACTATTCTTTTGCCTGCTAAATAAAGCATAAATTCCTGAAGTGCTTTGGCGAAGGTCAAATCACAGGTCGGTAGCAGTGTTAGGAACAGAGGCCAAGGCACTTGCTGTCAGCCCAGTGAGCAATTTACTGAACCAAGATGTATCTGCCATAGATTTTATTTATAAAATAAACGAGATGGTAGAACTCAGCAAAGAGAACATCAAGAAAATACTGTATGTAATACCATATTTTGAAAGGCTGTACTTTTTCTCAGTCTCTTCATTCTTCCTCTTCAGCTGGGCTTGTTCAGTATTGTACTGCTGAGCATTAATAGCCTCCTCATAAAAACAGAGGAGCAGATGAAGGGGGCCCCTCCCCTCCTTTTCAGAGGGAGGAGGATTGAGTTCGAAACATGTTCTGGTTTAGTCAGATCTGTACAAAAAGCCTTGAACAGGCCGGAGTTGTTTCCTGTTTGCTTTTCTTGTTACTGTTTTGAAATGCTTTGTATTTTGCAGTGGTTGTCATGTTGTCATGTTTTCTTTTTTTTTTTTTTTTTCTTCTCTTTAAACAGACTGTATCTCCCAAAGAAGAAACAAAGGCAACAGGTATGTCAGTTTTTCCTAATGATTATTTTTATTTTCTGTAAGCAAAATTGTTCTTTTAGCCAGAGTGAGTCACTGGCTGATACGTATTTAGCTAGTCAGCTTGCAGACTTGGGTCATGCAAACTATTTGATACCAATACTGCATCCCTAGCATGTGCTGTGGCTGTATTGAATGTTCCTGACAGCAGCACTGCTGGAGTTGTAGTGTAGCTGCTCCCCACGCGTGCCTTGCTGGAGGCTGTTCAGTAGCCGTCTCGCTCAGCTCGCGGCCCCGCAGCCGGCGGGAGGCCTTGGCCTTGCCCAGGTGCCCTCTCGCTGAGTGTTGGAGCAAGGATGTTGCTGTTGGGGACATCAGTAATCAGTTGCTGGCCATTTTGTATGATGTACAGCCCAGCCTAAGAAATACTTCACCAGAGTGCTCAGAGCTAGTTCTTTTGGTGTGCTTTTTTGGTTTGGGTTTTTGTAATAGCTGTTTCAGGATAGCTTGGATTTGATTCTGTAATGTTTCCTTGATAAGTTCAGCACTCTCCTCTATGTGGCTGTACAAGGAGATCCCAAAGAGCTGCCTGTCCCTTCTCCCATCTTCCTCCCATTTAATTTCCCCTCTCATTTTGGTATCAAGATACATGAGCCCCTAGCAGGACATAGGGGTTCAGCTCCTCCTGAAAGTTTAGCTATTTACAAGTTCCAGTTTCTGCTAAAAAATGCATATGCTGATATTCACATTCATACTGTTACTGGGATAATTTATCTCTAGCTATAAAATACAGAGCTTGAATTTGTAGGGCTGTGTTCTTCTGGCAGGCTTTTGTGTGATACTCGGTGCCCTTTTTTTTTTTTTTTTTTTTTTATACAAAGGTCTTGATTCTAGTTACATTTATTAAACATGCCTAGTATATAGGGTGTCCACTGCACTCTGTATAAACGTGATAAATGATACCAGTTTCAAACATATTACCGTGCCATAGCAAATTAGGAACTTCCACATGTTTTTCAGAACCACCACCACCATCTAAAATCCCTAAAATTGAAACTTCACATCCACCGATACCTCCTGCGCATCCACCTCCAGGTAAACTCTTATTTCTTAAATGCTGCTTCTCTTGTAATTTACTGCACCACTTTTCAGCAATGGTGGTAGTAATGTGAGAGGAGGGTTTGTTGCCTTGATTACTAGTTTGGCAATGAGTAATTAATCAGCAATACTACTAGACAGATAAGTTTTGGAGGACATTCATCTTTGTAGAACACACTTTTTCCTTTTTTTTAATGCATACCATAAAGTTAGGGTGGAAATGAATATACAGTATGTGGACAAAGGCAAGATAAAGCTCAGACTGTGAAAGCCTAGAAAAATAAACTACCTGTGGTGAGCAGGCAAAAAGGGACTAGTGTCCTTATCAGGCTGCCTAGTATTAGGGCACTGGCTTCTAAATGTCTTATTGAAGTTCTGCATATTACATCTGTGTTACAGAACCTGCAGGTGTGTAACTGCAGAAAAAAGGGATATGTATAATCTTGGCTATGCCCCAAAAGGAAGGAGGCTTTCATCTGCTGGAGAACTTTTAACACTTCATGCATGCCTTATGTTTGCAAAATAAATTTTACTCTTGAAAAATGTGCTCGCAGCGCTTTGACACATTAGCTGTCCTGCCACTGACCCTGAGATATGACATAAATATTTTATAGCTTGTGCTCCATAACGCAACTTCGAAATGACAGCCTCTAACAGGGAATATCAAGAGACAGAAACCAAAACAAACAATACACTATCGGTGCCCTTTTTGTTTTGTTTTGTTTTGTTTTTGGTTTTTTTGGGTTTTTTTTTTCTCATTTGTTAAAATCCAGTTAAGATGAGTGGTATGTGATTTGGGAGTTTTGGGGTTTGTTTTAAGATAGTAATCAGCCTTCCTCAGTTAATCAATCTTGTATAAGTGTATCTGATATTCAGAAAGATTTGGTTACAATTTAGGAGCTACAAAATCTTGAAATTGTAAGTACTGCAGCTAGTGTACGCCCATGGCGTATTCGGATTATGTAGTTGTTCTGGGGGTCAGTTTAGCTGTTAAAACCATGACTGTCTATATGGGATAAATCCTAAACATGCGGGTAGGTAACTAGTTTCCCATATTATCTCCAGAGGACACCTTAATGAGTGTCCTTCTTGAACCTGGCTAAGGACAGGTCTGTAAATTTCTGATCTTTGTTGTGAACTCCCCTGGGCTGCCATATGCTGAGCTCCCTGAAAGTAAGCGGTGGAACAGAGTTGATCAGATTTCACATCCCCACTAATCAAGGCCAGTTTTTTGCTTTATTCTCAGTGTGTTGTTCCCCCCTGCCCTTTTCTCTGCCCTCTTGATAAACAGGTTTAGAACCGAATGTTGAAGGCCTGAGGCTTTGGCCCATATTCTCAAATAGTATCTCAAGATGTTTGGGGCAAGTGAAGCGCAGTGATCAATCCCAGGCCGCCTTCTGGAGTACGAGGGAGATGCAAGGGGGGCACGGGCTGTACGAGATGGAAACGCTGATGGGAAGATTTGGGTCCCATGACTCTTTAAAAGCTGCTGGTTGTGAGTCTGTCCGTCCAGTCTGCTCCTTTTGGCTGTAGTATTTTGTAGTATTTCAGTCGTAAGAAAATCAATAATAAGTTGGGGGAAAAGTGTATTTAACTTCTAAACTGGGAGATGCCGACCTTGGAGCTCTGCTCTGCAGCTTAGTGATTTGCTAGGGACATAAGATGTGTAGGATGCGGGATGATGTATAGAGACTCGGAGACCTTTGGAGTCCTCTTGTGACGTGTTTGCTGGAGGAGCGCTGCAGAGTACATGGCTGTCATTGCTGCCACCGCCCTTCGCAAAAATAAGCAGCTCCTTCTGTGTTGCAGAGCGCAAGCCGCCGCCGCTGGCCGCGTCGGTCCCCATGGGCGAAGCGGAGCAGCCCTCCGCGGTGGACTCGGTGGACATGCCCAAGGTGCAGATCCCTCCTCCCGCGCATCCCGCCCCGGTGCACCAGCC